CAAAAAAAAAAAAAGTATAGACTTCAAAAACACAGAGTTTCTTGCTTTGGTGTATGAGTTCTTAAGCAATGGAAGTTTAGAAGAATGGATCAAAGGTCGAAAGATAAAGTCTGATGGAAGTGTTGGATTAAGTCTTGAAGAAAGAGTGAATGTAGGCATTGACATTGCATCTGCACTGGATTATTTGCACAATGATTGTGAAACACGTGTGGTTCATTGTGATCTAAAACCAAGCAATATTCTTCTAAACGAAGAAATGGTTGCAAAGGTCGGCGATTTCGGGCTGGCTCGTGTGTTGTTTGATGCATCTGATGATCGTCATCACGCTTCTATAAGTTCCACACATGTCTTGAAAGGCTCCATCGGTTATATTCCTCCAGGTTAGTTACTCTTTCTAATTCTTATAAGCAACCTTCTATTATTATTATTTTTTTCAAAGATAAGCAACCTTCTATAAGTTCCACAAATATATTGTTTTCATATATTTTCTACTTAATTATTTGTTTATCAGTAAAATGTACGCATTTAGGTTAATGTTTTACAGTGAATTTATATTTTTCTTATCAAATTAAAATGTATTATTACATATAAAAATGACTCGAAATCATCTTATTATAGTTCAAGCTTAAAAACATTAATTTTCATAAAATGACTCTTAATATATATACACAAATTAAAATATATTAGATATGCATGCCATAATATACAGCCCACTAGAGCCAATCTAATATCTTGCCATTGGTAAACAATAATGATCACAAAAGTAATTAAGGATTCCACCAAAAAAAAAAAAATAGTAATTAAGGATTTTCCATTCGAGTTTTAGTTTGAATTTTCTTAATTAACCAAAATAAAATAGAATATTATTAATTGGTTTGATAATATTTTTCATTTAGGTTTTAATCGAATATTTTTGGTATATTTGGAAAACAAAATTTCAATGTGGTATTTTGTGAAACAAAACATTTTAAAAAATATATAATTGTAAATTTCATAACTAAACCAAAAGTTTATATTCTCACACTGATTCTATCGAAGGTTATTGTATATGCAGAGTATGGGCTTGGGGAAAAGCCATCACAAGCAGGAGATGTGTATAGCTTTGGAGTGTTGTTGTTAGAGCTATTTAGTGGGAAAAGCCCTATGGACGAGAACTTCGAAGGAGATTGAAATCTAATAAAATGGATAAGTTATGGGTTTGAAAAGAATGCAATCATGGAAGTGATTGATCCTAAACTTAAGGGACTCATTGATATTTCTGGTGCACAACTTCATACAAAACTTGATTCTCTTAACAAAATTGTGGAAGTTGGCTTGGCTTGCACCGCCTATGCAGCTGGTGAACGGATCGACATGAGAGATGTGTTACGCTTATTGAAAGAGGCCAAGGACATACTTGTCAAAGGAAATTAGTTGATTGTTTAATCTTATATATCTCTATAGTTTTTACTATATTTTGGTAAGTTGTTGCAATGCTCTATTATAGTATCCGGATCAATGAATTTATTATTTAAGTACTTAGTTATTTTTCTTATAATTTGTTGGGGAAAAAGCCACATAATTTATTTGGGTTTAGAGTCTTTAGACCCTTCAAATGTAAAACCGGCTCTATGTTTCTTATAATAACCTCCTTACAAAAATTAGAATCAACATCCTTGACTGGTTTATCAATTAGGAGGAGAAATGTTTACATAAGAACATTCTGCTAATTCAATAACTAAATATATGTTAAACATGTCCGTTTTTGAATTGCCTTTGAATTGAGGAAACAAATAATCAAAATTATGTAGAAGCTGAGAAATCTATCACAAAACACTCCAAACTCATCTAAAATACTTTGGTCAGATGTTGGCCAAAGCGTACCAAAAATCTAGTCATGTTAACTAGATCCAAACAATTCGTGTCGAAAACCTAATAAGGTACTCCTATTTGTTGTATCGGTTTCGATATTACTATCTTTTATTCATTAGAGCATCTCCATTGGTGAGATACTCTTATATAAAACTGCTATTTTC